GTGTGTGTGTGTGTAGCAGGGTCACAGCTTTACTCAATGCATTACATAAACCTGCAGCTTACAACCTGCAGCTGCAGCTCCAAACATCTCGGTTCACGACCCGTCGCCTGGCTGCCTGGCTGCCGCGCCAGATCTCTCTGCGTGACGGCGTGATGTCATGATGTAGCGGTGTTGTTCAGCTTCCTCATAACGCTTGTGTTTTGGATAATTCACTGCCTCAGTTTCTCTCTTGAAATGGAAAATCATCAGAGGTCGAAGAAGTACATATCTTGTACTCAAGTAAAAGAAGTGGATGTCCACCACACAGGGAAAGTATAAGTCTTCCCTTTGCATTATGGGAAACATGTACATTGTTCAAGCTTGAGACACAATAGAGACTAAAGTCAGGATACAGTATCTTGGCTGAAGATTCAGTTTCTCACTAGAGTGCCACTTTCAATCAAACACGTTCTTTACTTCACATCATTTTTTAGCTTTAAACATTTGTAATTAAAGGGCCAGTTCAGCTAAATTACCAACACACATTTTTCTCACTATCCTCAAGTCAAATCCAAGGTTTTTAAATATCTTATTATTATCAGTCGATTGTATGTTTCTGAAAGAAAATCAATACATTTATGAAGTTTAAATCTTGCTGTAGGCACCAGGAATAAAACACTAACCAATCCTGGTATTAAGTGGGTGGCAGAAGACTTTTTGACTAATTTATAAAAACCTGTTTCAATAAAAACCACAACCATCTGTATGGCTAGATACTAAAAGAAACTTAAGGTGATATAGTAAAAAAAAATTGATTTTGTGAAACTGAGACTTGAGGGTTGTCGTTGTGCAAAGCTGTGCTGCATAATGACAATAAAATGATCCTAAGAGCCTTAAAGTAATTATATCCTGCATTCACAATTTGATTCTTCAGATATGGTAGTGTATTTATTTTTTTACTTCATCAGTTGTAGTACACCTCAGAGGAATAACTCAAATCAATAAGTACAAAAAACCCTCTCTCCATAATCATCCTCACAGTGCAGAATCTTCCTGGCATGTTGAAGCGTCTCCTGCGTTACGAAGCTGCAGAGCTGGCCTCTCATCAGCACCGTGTCTCTTTCTGGAGAACATTGTTTTATGGAAGGATGTTCGGTGCGTCTACATGTAGAGATCAGAGGTTGGGATTGGATAAGGATTGGCATTTCCTCACCGTGACTCAGATCAGTTTGGTGTTGCCTTCAGTCGCTCTCAACACTTCCCTCATCAAACATTTACAGCTCCAGAACAACGGGCTGTTTCTGACCTTTCCCTCCTCTGCTGCACTCTGTGAGCGGCACGCTGTTGGGTCTGCATCTTGGCTCAACATACAGGGGCTATATCTGTGTGTGAGTGTGTGAGTGAGTGTGTGTGTGTGACGTGGCGGTGCCCTGCTGTGTGACGTGTAGGAGGGAGAGAGAGGGGGAGGCCGGTCAGGACAGCTTGGCGGCCGGCTGCAGGAACACCAGGCGGGGGGGGAGTCATCGCCCTCACCCTCCAGGGCTGAGATATAAGGAATACTTCACCCAGAAATGATCCTTTTTATAACAGTAACTAACCTGGGCTACTTGATATCTTGAAGGAACGTTTCTTTTCTCGAATGCCATTACAAGATGGGGTTTTACAATACAAATAAAATGGTTTGAATGAAATAAATGTACAATAAAAATACCATACGATAAAATGTATGACCTACACGTATAGGATGTTCTAGGAAAGCCTGAAAGCAGCCCTAACTATACTCTTTTTTTTTATAACAAACGCACACATCTCTAAAACTCACAAAACTAGGTTTGATGCTCAGTTGTATGCTAACTAGTCTGAAACACATGTATTTTTGCTTTAACCTTACTTTTTAAAACCCCTCTGCGTTAAGTCTCACTCACACAGGTGCTCTACTCGTCCGTGTTCCTGTTTAAGTGCTTTAAATTGTACGTTTTAAGTGTAAAAACACATGTGTTATGACTTAAATTATGGTTTGACCCACATTCACTTCAACCCATCAAGAGTTTTTTCTAATTTTCTATTTTATTTTTACCACTGTGAACACATGTGTTGAGAAATTATAATTTTGGGAGTATTCCTTAAAGTCAGGATAGAGGAGGGTGGATTATAGAAATGATGTCTTGTACTTAAGTAAAAAATACCGTGGTGAATTCTCAAGTTAAGAGAGAGAGAGAGACAGACAGACAGACAGACAGAGAGACAGAGAGACAGACAGACAGACAGACAGAAGAATTGGTAAGATAGCAGGGTTTCCCACACATAGACTTTCACAGTAACCCCACTGCTCCGGTGAAACGGTTCATGAGCGTGCTCACTAGCGCACCTCCCCCCCCCCCCCCGGTTCATAAAGTCAAGAACCCCTCAAAAAGTACGGTTTATTTCATTTTAAGGATGCGCACGAAGCAACATCTCCAGGTGCTCCTTTGAGAACCAGGGCAAAAAAGTGATGTGCACCCCTGCTTATAGTGCCAAAAGTAAAAGTACTGATTATGCAGATTGGCCCATTTCCGATTTATACATATCATATGTTTTGATTATAATGATTGATCATTAAAGTGTTATCAAAGCAGGTAAAGGCAGCTAGGTTTAATGACTTTATATACTGCAGCTTCTGAATATGAAAATGTAGCTCCAGGTGTAACTAAAGTCTGATTTAAGGGTTGATTGTAAATGATCAATTACACTGGGATAGAAGTACAAGTCCCTCAAAGTACAGTACTTGAGTAAATCTACTTAGTTACTTTACACCGCTGTTTGAAAGGATGCTGGGAACGCTCCTGATGAAGATGATGGTGGAGGAGCTCCTGATGAAGATGATGGTGGTGGAGCTCCTGATGAAGATGATGGTGGAGGAGCTCCTGATGAAGATGATGGTGGGGGAGCTCCTGATGAAGATGATGGTGGTGGAGCTCCTGATGAAGAGGATGGTGGAGGAGCTCCTGATGAAGAGGAGGGTGGAGGAGCTCCTGATGAAGAGGATGGTGGTGGAGCTCCTGATGAAGATGATGGTGGGGGAGCTCCTGATGAAGATGATGGTGGTGGAGCTCCTGATGAAGATGATAGTGGAGGAGCTCCTGATGAAGATGATGGTGGAGGAGCTCCTGATGAAGAGGAGGGTGGAGGAGCTCCTGATGAAGAGGGATTAGACCCTGCGGTGAGAAAAGAGAGGCGGCGCGGGGCAAAGTGAGGACAGCGCCGGGGTGGTGGGGGGGGGGCAGGGAGCAGATTGTGGGGGAGAGTTGGGATGTTCGCCCCCCCGTCTGTCACACACAGGCAGCCCTGCCACTGCCAACATGACCAGCAGGGCAGGGGCATCTGTGTCCCCCCCAGCTACCTCTCTGTCTCCCCCTGCCCCGAGACACCACTCTCTTCATCATCCTCCTCACCCTCCTCCTCTTCCTCTATCACACACATCATCTCTGACTCATAAAGCTGTTTCTTTTGTACTGTTTCCCGGGCCATAACCGGGTCCCAAAAAGGACTTTAGTCGTGTGTGTGTGTGTGTGTGTGTGTGTGTGTGTGTGTGTGTGTGTGTGTGTGTGTGTGTGTGTGTGTGTGTGTGTGTGTGTGTGTGTGTGTGTGTGTGTGTGTGTGTGTGTGTGTGTGTGTGTGTGTGTGTGTGTGTGTGTGTGTGTGGTGTGTGTGTGTGTGGGTGTGTGTGTGTGTGTGTGTGTGTGTGTGTGTGTGTGTGTGTGTGTGTGTGTGTGTGTGTGTGTGTGTGTGTGTGTGTGTGTGTGTGAGAAAGAGGATGGGATGACTGAGTGACTGAATGATGAATGGATGAAATAATGAGGGCTACTGGTGGGAAATATCTTAACAACACATTCCTCCTCCACCCCCCAGACCCAGTCAACACGCACACTATTCATACAGCCCTAACCCTAAACCCCAGCTGGAAACACCATCTACACAAACACACCCACACACACACACACACACACACTGTCTACTCCCAGTGTGGGGTGAAAGAGTCCATTGTCTGCGTGTCGGGGGGGACGCACTAATTGGGACGTCCCAGTAATGATCACTGCGCTTCATAGCTGCACACAACTTTCTCACCACTGTTTAAACTAACCCGCTGTTCATTTTACAACATGGTGACTTTATCTAATATTTATTCATTTGACCTATGAACTCAGTGTTCAGGCACAATGGAAAATGCATTAAGATTAATTGTAAAATTCTATCGAGTATTATCGCCACAGTTGTGTTGGTTCCTCTATTTAAGATTAGTTTAGTCACACAGGAGTAATGTTATATTCTGCTGAAGAGTGCATCAGCAAAATGTATTTTGGTAAACTAAAAAAAGTGTAATATATGTAGCGGCTTCTCTCCTTTGTTTCCATCAAGCCACTTAGATGCCTTTTAAACGTTATCTTTTAATGTATTTGTTTTACTTACAGCTGTGATGAGTTGTTAGGCTTCAGCTGTTGATGTTGTGTGACTCGCGGTTAATCGTAAAATTATTTAACGGTTGTCTCAACGGCGTCCTCCACACAGGTTGCCCATATCTGTGTCTCTTAAAAGCTGCCGTTGTGGGAATTGTAGTCTTTTATAATCCCTGGACTACAGAGGTCGCCACTAGGTGACAATATTTGGCTTTTCCACAAAAACAAAAAAACTCTTACACTATATTTAAAACATTTTTCACTGCTTTACATTGCCGTCACTCAGACAGCTTTTCCGATTTATAATGAGAATTATTGTTGGTTTGAGGGGCCGTTATTGTTGGATAATAAGAGTGTTCATCAGATCCTGCCTCACCTCCTTGGCTGCACTCTTATTAAAAAGTGAGCACCGCCGCCACACAAACAAACAGTGTTGATAACTGGATCAACACAAAGTCCAGCGATATTTAAAAAAGCTCTTTGTGGATCCAGCTCTCTTTCAATATTTACAACATTTGGCTTTTTATCAGCCAGGAGGGTATGTTCCTCTCACACAGTTTCAGTCAATATTGTGTGTGTGTGTTGCAGGCTGCAGCAGTTGGACCGTCACTGTCAGAGCAGCGCCCAGCAGGTGTGTGAGCTGCTGGCCAAACAGAACCAGCTGATGCAGGAGAGAAACACACTCACTGAGGAGATGCAGAGTCTACACACAGAGGTACACACACACACACACACACACACACACACACACACAGCAGTGTATGACTCACTGTTTTGTCTCTTAATGAGTTTGTCTTTCTCTCCAGGTGCACGTTACAGTTGTCAGTTTACTCAAATGTTTTCAGTACAAAGACATTTTTCTCCTTATGACTAATGAAACTGAAAGATATGTTTTCTATATTCTGATGTGTGTGTGTGTGTGTGTGTGTGTGTGTGTGTGTGTGTGTGTGTGTGTGTGTGTGTGTGTGTGTGTGTGTGTGTGTGTGTGTGTGTGTGTGTGTGTGTGTGTGTGTGTGTGTGTGTGTGTGTGGTGTGTGTGTGTGTGTGTGTGTGTGTGTGTGTGTGTGTGTGTGTGTGTGTGTGTGTGTGTGTGTCTTTCTAGAGACGAGTGGCTACTCCGTCCACGTGAGTCCGTCCTGCCCGTCTGCTTGGATTTGAAGTCAGAAATCTCCTGTTGACAAAACTTTGTAATTATATATATCTCTTTTTTATTATCAGGCAGATAGGTGTGTTAATCATTTTTGTATTAAGGAGCAATGTTTACACTTTTTTCTGTCATCAGAACTGAAATCAGGTTTCATTTGTGATTTCTCTTTGGGCAATAGACTGTTACTGTGGTATATTGAGCTATAAGAGGAAGAGGATGTGCAGTAGTGTTAAGGCACTTTTTTTTTAATACTCCTTTTTTATTAAATGGATTTAATAAACAAAATCACTGTGCTTTTGGAAAGTGCTTAACGATCATAAAACTAAGAAATGTTTTTCCTTTATACATTTTTTTTTAAAATAAAGCCTTTACCATTCACACATTTCCCATTCTTTATTACTTCATGTTTAGTTTTAAGACTTTTAAAACCTGTTAAGCCCCGAGCCTGTTTTTCAGGCCTCAGGCTCGAAAATGACATTCCCAGAAGAATTGACTATATCTTCACTTCTAAAAGGGGTAAATTAATAACCTTTTTTCTCAAAGTAATGATAAACCTGTGAGTTGGATGTAGAAAAGTCAGAATCAATATAGAATTTTTTTATTTTAAAGTAAATTCAGATTGAACATAGTAAAAAAATGTAAATTATAGTGTCCGTCCAAAATAAAACATTACTTATAGTGAAAACCACCCTTGAATGATGGGATAGTAGACTAAAAGCTTTAGGAATCCAAACTATAACATATAATAAGTACCCTGTATCAAGATTGATGCAAAACAAGTGACATCTGACCTTTTTAGAGAGATTTAGAAAGAAAAAAACACTTCTGGGGTCATTTGGGTGCATTTTCCATATCTCTGGCCCCCCTCATTCGATGTTGATGATTGACATCTCTTTTGAACCGTTAGAGCCAATAGAATCGAGGGGAAGTTCCTAAAATCCATCTAAACATTACCCATTGGTGAATGAGTGATGCGTAGCCAGAATGCCCAAAACCGGAAGCTGTCATACACTCGTAGCAGCTAATATTAAATCTTCGTTATTGACATAAATATGATGATGGATTATCAGTAATCATTTCAAAGTGACACAGACACATTGGATTAACCTATGGATTAACCTTCAGCAGCGTTTTTATCGTTTTAATGCCATTGAACACAACTTTTGATCAGAAACAGCAAAAGGTAAGACAATGTCCCGTGTTTGCTACCTAAAGCTATGTGGTGTGATGTCTGGTTTTGTTTCCCATGCCGCGAGTTATGGTCGCTCAGTGACTTATATTTCTGGAATCTGTGGAATCTCAGCTTGCTAATCGATATCTTGTTTGTGCAGATTCGATAAGTAATAAGGGTATTTTAACGTGAGTTATTTGCTAAGTGCGTTAGCATTTTTTCGCTCAGGGCTAATTCAGAGCCTTTGATATTACCCTTGTTTCGTTTTGCTAAAAATTGTTAATATCGTCAGTTAGCTGAGTTTCTTCCCGTTAAGTGGATATGACACAATCATAGTTTATTAAATATTAAGAAGCCCTCAGATGCTGTTTCTTGCAAGATGTTGTGTTTTGCCCCCGTATTCTTTAGCCACAAATGAAATGAAGAGTCGTGGCCAGTGCAGCAGATTGACATAGTGCTTTATTGAAGCCGTCTGTAAGAAGGAAAATAATGTGCATCCCTATCATATACATTGTGTAAAAATACTAAGGATGTACAGTGTAAAAAACAGCTTCATGTTGATGGTAATCTGTTGTTTTCACATCCTGGCGGCTCACCGGCCAGCAGCGCTCTCTGTTTCACCTCCAGACTGTGTCAGAGCGTCAGGGAATCACGGCCCTCTGGGAAATATCTCACACAGCTGTACAGCTACAGTAGATGGACATGACATTAAAACTCAGTTACACTTTGTAATACTTTTACATGTTTCGCTGCTTTTTGTTTGCTGCTTATAAATAAATGCATCTCATGCTTGTTCATGTTAATAATCATGATGATAGAAGACCAGAGGAAGAAGAGAGGGAGGTCGAATACTTTCAGAAATCCTTCCAAACGCCGGAGCTGTTTACTCGTTTCTGCATTAAACAGACGTGTTTTCTGACTTTGGCTGACGCTGTCGGTTCATTAACAGACGAGATCAAAACAGAGCAGCTGAGGTCTGTTACATTTCATCCAAATCTGTTCTGTTGAGTAGATGAACAGTACAAACAGCAGCAGCTTTGAGTGAACTTTAAAAAGGTCCTTAACGTTTAAGGAATGACTGACATGAGTCCACAACTGTTTCATAGTCTTTAAGAGGAACCCTACACTCATGAGGAGCTCCATCTTCTCCACTTACAGTAGTTGGAGGATCACTTTTTTTAAATCTCTTACCTTGGAGTAAGCATTTTTGCTGCCAGTAAATAAACTTGGAATGGATCAAAGCAGAGGCTCAACGGAGGGAAAACTTTTTAAAAGCGATGGAGAAGGAGTCGGGGACATCAGTGGATTGTGAGTTTATGAAGACTGACCAACGGACTGAGCGTGATTCTGCAGCGCTGAACCGAGACATCAGAGCAACATGAAAGCTATCCGTCGTATGTGAGGGGAGATGTGCTTTAAAAATCCTCATTTTCTTAAAAACATAAAAAAGCTAAAAATCTTCCTTTAAAGCAGGGCTGAATCAGATTCTTCTGACTCATATAAAAAGTGATGGATGTGAAAGTGCCGTGGCCAAAGCTACAAAGCGGTATTTTATGAACTCTGGTTTCTAATGATTTTGGCGGGAAGCGCGCACATACAGCTCGAGCTCCTCAGACATCGCAGACATGGGTCAAAGCAAAGCACAAATCCTTCCAAATACATGGGAGCGTTTGCTTGAGCCTGACGAGGTGCCAGCTGGGAGGAAGCTGCTCTCATTTTGAACTCCTCGGCTGCTTCAGCTGTGCCAGACAGGCTCAATCGATCACAGAGAAGCAGTCCTCACAAGAGTTCTGAGTGCCACTTTGACTCAGGCCTGCGGACAGAGGACTGCAGCATGCCGTCCTTTTCTACTTTCTGCCATAAAGCGCCTTTGCCAGCTAGTAGCAATTTAATGGATGTGCAAGTGAAAAGCAGATGGACTTAAAAGCAGCGGAAAAAAACAGGTAATGTGTCGTATAAGAGATGCCGGTAAAGAAATAAAAGGAGGAATTTATTTCAAGGACAACATCTCTGGAGACTTAAACTGCAGAGCGAAACACGACTACACCCCCTTACTGCTAAACTCCAAAACAAAATGACATTAAATAAATTAAATAGAAAATAAATTCAAGTTATCCATCAATGATAAGAATAAAACATTCAAATAAATATTGAATACAGTTTTCTACGCCTTATGAGAGCACATCCCCTGGTGCTCTCTGTAATCTGTCATACAGATATTAGGGTCTTCCACAAGTGTTTTAAGATTCAAATAACATTTCAGATTTAAACAAATAAATGTCCTCATGTGTGTTTGTTGCTGGATTTTATATAAACCATAAGGCTTACTGGCGTTTGAAAACAGGAATTGAGGGGATTTTAAATCTTGGTGGTCAGACTGGAAGACATGACGACGCAGACAAACAACGTCCAGCGAAGAAGTGACAGTCGCGTTAAAGACAGAAGAAAATCCCTTCTCTTACTTAAAGGAAACTGCTCTTTCTCATCTACAATCAAAATAAATGACCCACCTTACAAACTCACATTAGATATCCTTTATCATTCGACTTTCTCGACTCACTTAAAAAGTAGCACTTACAGTTTAACATTAAACCTTACCGCTTTACATTCTGTGCTGCACTTTCTGCTCAACTTCCACTTCCTCTCTTTCTCTCTGCCCCAGCTTTCCCAAAACACCTGTGGTGAGATTAAATAAGGGCACCATGTGTGTTAATAACCAAACAATGAGATGAGCTTTCATAGCAAACACCTGTGGGATGATCTGGATTGATAAAGGTGTTTGTATAAATATTTTTTTTTTTCTGGGTGAATTAACGTCTGTCTTTTAATGCGTCCTGTCAACACTGGGCTGTCACATTTTGGTCACAAAACAACACATAATTTAAACAAACGATGGAAAAGGAAGGCTATCTGCTTTCCCTCCTACATTCTTTCAGCCGTTTTTGTTTCTTGAGGTGCTTTTTTTTTTCTTCCTCTCAGCCCTAAGAAATATTTTTTTCTAGAATAATGTAATAACAATAGAAAAAGTTAATAGAAAAGCGATGAGTAGAACAATAAATAGAACATTATATATATAATATATTAAATAATATATAATATATATACTATAGCCATTGCTGGGATTGGTGTAAACCCATTAATGTTGATGAGTACCTCCTAACGGAACATACAAAACCCTTCGTAACAATCTCACAGGAAATCTGCTGTAATCTCACTCATTAATACATAATAAATTATCACTTTATAAATATGTCATCCTTCTTGGAGCTGTTCACCTGTAATCCCTCTCTTTCATCTTATCACCAATGCCCGGCCTGGACTTTTTTCTCACTCTGCGTCAGTCTCTCTTTCTTTCAGAGACAGAGAGGTACAGCCATGTGGTTCAAAAAGCCGTGACAACAAGTCGTCACAGTAAAGCGACGAGTTTTCTCTTTAGGGACACGACAGAATTACACTCAGAGGGAAGTAGAGAAATAAATAAACAAAAACATTCAAAACTAACTGTTTTCCTCTCGTTTTCATTTCCTCACTAATGGATACATGAACCACCTTGCACTGCACTGTGGGTAATGTAGTAAAGCTCATGGTTTGGGAGCTTCATCCTTCTGAACTGCTGTGCTTTGAAGTGCGATCTTAAACACAAACCTATTATAATATCTTGCGCACTCACACAAACATGACATCCTATAATAACCTACAGAGTTGAGCTGTACATAGCAACAGCTGTTCTGCAGCTGTTCAAGCATAGACATTAATAAAGTGTTTGATTTGTTGCTGGCGCCTGTATGATGATCTGCAGCATTAAGCTAGCAGTGTAGCACCGGGTTCAGTAGTAGCAGTATATAGTAGAAGTAGTACCTGTAGTAGTTGAAATAGCAGCAACAATAATAATGGATTGCACTGAGCAAAACCTGAGTGACATCCTGCTTCAGGATTCATCTCACTGGTGACAACTGCAAATGCAAGGCAGCCTCAATCAATCCCCGAACCTTTAAGGTGAGGGTTTGAAACCAGACCCGAGTGTCTCTGAGTCTGAGAGCATCTCTCTGTTTGCAAAAAGCCTGAGATACAACCGGTAACGGCAGTTTAGGTTTGAATGAAATGCTATATCTCCTTCTTACTGATGAGAAGCCTCCTTAAAACACATCAGCTGTTCTCTAAGTGGATCAGTTTAGGAGTTTGACACATGTCAAAGCACAGCAGGCCA